CTTTATTCAGCTAATACTCGAATTGTCACATTATTCCTCCGCAGCTTTATGGATCCGTAAATTATCATCCTATTACTACTTCTTAATTATTCACAATTGTGAAAGAACGAAAATAATTATGCTGATCACTTAATATTGTTTACATGGCTATAAGCATGGAAATAAGCATGCCTTCAGGAACCTGAACAGAACCCAAACAGACTTGCATCTCTGTCTACTCAATGTACGAAAGACACATCTATTTACTTTGCATGCTAACAGATACTCTGCGAGCAGCTTTCCTAGGTCGGGAACACTTTCCTCGTGCCCGACTAATCTAGGAGAGATCGAAGCGACTCTTCTCGCAGGGTAGCCAAAAGGACAGCGTGCTTATTATATTCTAGTATCAATTTTACTCGCTAAATTATTTGAATGGTCTTACAGCTGTCAATCAAGACAATGCTAATTAATTACATGTCTTTTTTTAATGACATTCATCAATGCAGGCTGGAAATCATATTGTTTTAAACACCTGTGCATGGCTGCTAATTACATACCCACTCAGGTTGAAATGTCACCATGTTACATGTATAAACTTCATCTATATCCAATGAATGAAACTATATCACATCTCACACACAAGCATGTATTTCACCTAATTCACACAAAAATGCTACTCCTATAAAAAGTCTTCTATGAAAAGCAGAATTGAAAACATCTTTATCTAGTGTAATATCAACATCATTTCAACAAAGTCAGTCATCAGTCATTCCAATTGGAATGAAATGTGTACAACTCTAGAAAAACTCCTTTACACATATCATTCCAAAATTGACCCTTAGGGTTCCACACCTCCCCCCGGAACCTCCCGCTTTTAAGGCTTAGTCCGATGCTCAGTACAAAACTATTAACAACTTTTTTCTTACTTGGAGAAGTAAAACGGTAAGGTTTTACAAAATAACTAGATAGAGCTTTCTATCTCTTGGCCTTAAGTCAAATCAGGGAAGCGGCAGATGAATTCTAACTAATCACCAGAGAATATCACCAAGGGCAAAATTAACAGCATGTGTATGACCCACGGGTGTGCAGGAAGTTCAACTCAAGTCACATGTAATAAATTATATGTCCTACTAATCAACATATCAAAGCAATTATTGTGCCA